GCACGGGAAGGTGCGTGCACACCGGGGTCCCCGCCTCCGCCCTGCAGGCAAAGGCGCTGCCGTGTCCAGATACGCAGCAGCTGGTGCCCGGAGCGGGGACCTCGCGCAATAAAGCCTCCAGGCGTGTTCGTCCCCTCCACCTTAAACCGGCTGTTTCTTCTCAGAAGTCCTCGCTGCACGCGAACGATAACAACCCCGACCTTGGGAAAGCGCCATACGCCTGGACCCGCCTAGCTGCGGGAGCCGCCGTTAGCCATTTCTGCTCGCCGGGACGCGGACACGAGGCTCGGGTACCTCCTAGCGGCTGCCCACTCAATTTCCTTAAGCATCTTGTCAGGCACGAAGTGTGCAAAGACAAAGAAGTCCTGCAGCCTCCCCGCCCGGTCAGCTTAGTCATCAGGAAAGCAAAACCTAAGAGCAGCTTTTCTCTGCTGAGAGGCAGAGCTTGAGAAGTTGGTGCAAAGTTATTTACCAAATAGGAAGTAGGGTACCGAGTGACTGGACTGTGGCTCTCCCCAACATTGCTAGTGGGCTGTCTTAGGAGAAAACCCCCTGCCCTCGGCTGGCAGGCACGCGCATGATGCTCACCCCCCCCCATCAGAGACAGCATTACCCGTCCAATATCATTCCGCACTGTGCAATATTTTTCCCCCTTCCTGGGTGATCCTTTTCCCACCTTGCAATCCAGTCTTATTCCTTAAGTTTCCTTAGTTGGACTAGCAAATGTAATGAGGCCATTCACTTCATTCTTCCAAAGTCCCAGCATTGGAAAATCAAAGAGGGGTGGGGGAGCTAACACGAAGGTGCTGAGCTTGACCCTTCACGTGTTTTCACTCGTTCGGTCCTCACAGCAGCCTCGCGAGCTACTACATATTGTTATCCGTGTTTTTCAAAGGAGCAATGGGAGGCACGTGAGATTAAACATCGTACATCATTTTATTCTTTTTCAAGGTTGCCTAGAGATATCTTGGGAGAAACTTTTTTTTTTAATGAGTAGCCTATGGGGGCCACCCCTAAGCAACAAAATAGAAAGGGTTTAGGGTATTGTTTCCACATTACTTAATAGAAGTCTGCTAACTTTCTTACACTGAAAATAATGGCTTGTTGACTAACTTTACATTTATCTTGACTAAGAAATTCTAGATCCCTAGGTTATGGGTAGGAAGAATGAAACCTTGCTGAGCTGTATTTCTCTGGTCAGTTCTAAGTTCTGCCAGTTCTTTGTTGTGTCTTCAAAACAAGATCCCACTTGCCACCGTTCTAACTCTGCTTCTGATTTTCCTATTATCTCCTGACATTCCTCTTTACTCATCCATATTAGGTACTTAACCTGGTGTATTTGTCTTTCTGTGACACTTTTTCTTCTTGCCAGGGCTCGTGCATTTTAGGCAAGTGCTCTACCTCGGATACGTGTGTGTGTGTGTGTGTGTGTGTGTGTTTGTGTGTGAACCCAGGACCTTCATACTAAGCCACAACCCTACCCCTCCTCTTATTTTTTTGAGGCAGAATCTTGCCAAGTTGCTGTGCTGCCCAAGGTAGGCTCAAACCTGCAATCCTCCTGCCTCAGCCTCCCAGGGTGCTGGGGTTGTAGGGTTACACCAGCACACCTGGCTAAGATTATTTTAGTTGTCCCATCCTGCACTTGAATGAGGACTACCAGTTGCCTGCATCTATTTGCCTTGACTCGGTAGGCAAATAGCCCAGATGCACCACCTCCCCAGAGACACTGAGTCTCTCCTGATAGCCCCATACACATAATTGCCTCCAGCCAAGTCATCTCTGTTCTGTGTCCCCAGTTTTTTCATCCTCACGTCATTCAAATGAGTCCCTTCATTTGAAATTCTGATGCATTTCCCCTGCCTACCCAGATCTCATCCATCTTCAAAATCTCCTTTTCATAAATGTTTATCCCTACCCCCACCCCCGTATTTCAGACTTGGCCGTCTCGCTCCTGCTGATGGTAGGCCCAGTATTTATAAACCTTTTACAGCAGTGCATCAAAAAGTAATGCACCACGATTGCATTTTTCATTTTGCTTTCTTATCAGCATATTGAATTTATAGGAGTCAACTTCTCAGTTATATTTTAAAGTCCTTATGAACAGATAACAATCGAACACAAATGAAAGGTCACCTTCTCAAGCCAAACAACTATGGTAGGTGTAAAGATGTAGCTGTGAAAAAAGCAACCACAGTCAGTTCACACAAAGCATAGACTCTATTCTTTTGTGGCTAAACTGCTTTTTTGTGGCTCACAGAGATAAAGTCACATTCAGTGACCATGCCTACCATAACTCCTGCTAGCATATCATAAGATGGACTTCTTTATGTTTAAAAAAAACCTATGGGGGGGGAGGTATTCACAGGACATTGTACAAAAGTGAAAAAAAATACCTATGGAACATGAAAAACAATTTCCATGACAAGTCTGTATTCCCAAGTTCAAAGTCTAAAGCAAAGAAATGCCCTCCTTCTCACACCTAAATATCTTTTTTGTCATGAAAAAGCAAGATCCTGTCTCAAAATTTAAAAAAAAAAAGGGGGGCTGGGGATGAAGCTCAGTGGGTTTGACTCCCAGTATTGTGAAACAAAACAAAACAAATAAATTAGCATTCAAAAGGTGTCAGTATACTGCTTTCCCACACACACCAAATCTTCATGTGCTGCCCTTTCTCTATATATTTGCCAGTATTGGATATTTATTTCATGTAAAATATATATATTTAGAAGCAAGGCTGGGGATTTAGCTCAGTGGTTCCACTGTCTGCCTCGCAAGCACAAGGATCCAAGTTCAATCCCCGGTACCCCCCCGCAAAAAAAAAGTTAGAAGCAGATGTGTAGTGAATTTTATTTCAGTGACTTAGGGTGGTCTTATCACAAGTTCACATGCAAAGGAATTATTTGTAATCTTTTATAAGACCCAGTGGAGACTAAATGCCCACACCCTCTGGTCTGACATACTTGTTCTTTCTAAATGCCAAGATATACACTATGCCAAGATCTGCCTGCTGTGGCTCACAAAAACCACCTAATCTTTCTCGACCACATGTTTCTGTCATCTAGAGGATTCTGCCTGATCACTTTTTAGTCCCCTCCAAGTATAAAATTCTACAATCATATACATATCACCTAGAGGTAGAACCAGAGTGATAAATAGAATGAGGATGAGAAATGCAGGAAAAAAAATAGTAGTAAAATGAGAAGCAGTGGGGAAGATGTGGTCAAGGGGACCAGGATGGTGAGTCAATAGAGTGAGCATCCGTCACCCTGCCCAGAGCTGCTACTCAGCCCCTGCTCATAGACCTGCATGGAGGCAAAGGATCAGTAAAGATTTCACCTGACGGTTCTACATACATATTTGGCTTTTGAATAAAAATCTTTTGTATGTAATATATTTTAGAATGTCAAAACTCAGCAATGTCCCTATTCTTTTTCCACCCACTATCGACAAGGCAATCCTGAATCATGAGCAGAATAGTAAAGCTTGTGCCAGTGTTCCTCAAAACTTACGTGCGTATGATTTACCTGGGGAGCTTATTAGAATCCAGATTTTGGGTCAGACACTTGGGAGGAAAAGTCTGATATTCTGAAAGTAAGCAAGGAAGCTCCACTTGTCAAAACGGGACCAATTTGTACCATGGTGAATGTAAATACCTTTTTAATTTGTGGCACCATGGATGTGATGGAACCAACATAAACAATACACTTCCCAGGGACATCATGCCAAAGTTTAGGCCATAGTTTTCCCCAAAATGTATTCTTCTAGCCATTACACCTAGGCAGCACCCTTTAACTCTATTCGATTCTGTTGTAAGCAACATGCCAA